CTCAATGTTGTTTGAATTTGTGCTTCTCAAATAACCAATGATGCTGAACATTTTTCATACATTTACACATTTTTTTGCATTTCATCTTAGAAGTGTGTATTCATCTCAGATGTTGTAGATGTAAGTCCATCTGTGAAGAAAAACTGGCTGAAAGTTTTCCCACTACATCACAGGGTCAGTGGGCAGTGGTGCTACCTCCCCATGCATTTTTCCTGGTGTGATACATTTGGGTTTAAGGAGATGCCTAGGACACGTGAACTCATGTGACTGTCCTCAGCTGCAGCATGAGGCTCATGTCACCTGTTGGGTCTGCAGGTTGGGGTCTTGATATCAAACCTTGGACCTTTGGTGAGAGTGAGCCCTGGGATCCAACGAGGATGTGTGAACATCAGAGATCTTATAAAAATGTACCCAGCTTAGATTATCTGATCACCCTATTCTTCCTTAAGTCTTATGCAGCCCTTTCAAGGTGAGGCAATCCACAGATCCTTCTATGGGTGAAAATAATTAGGTGAGAGCTCTGTTGATCAATCCAGGAAGATGCTCTCTTTTCCAGCCATGATTATTCATGTTATAAGTGTAGCCTACTAAGATACTCACCAGCCCAGCTGATCTGGAAAAGTTCACATATGTGTACCCATTTGGAGTTCCAGGCCTATCCAAACAAATGGATCCCCTGTGATGCTGGTCTAGTTTCTAGATAAGTCTCATTCTACCCCATGAGGTCCTATGTAGAGTTATCATGCCACAGTCCTTTGCCCCTTTAGTTTCTGACCATGGGCATTAGCATGATGGGTACAATGGAATTGGCCATACATGGGCCATAGAGCAACGTACTGGTGGAAAGTACTGGATGGCATCAACTTTTGAAGGTCACTAATCTCCAACATGGAGGTATGTAAAGCATGAGATTAGATTCAGGAGATTGTGTAGTTAGAGTTGAATCTGCCTTGTCACCATGTTATGATTGCTCTGCCTGAAAGATACTCTGAAGCTTCTTTAACTCTTTCATATCGGCTGGATGCAGTATACAAAATTTTCTGTGACCTAGACAGGAACCCAACTGAGGTTGGGGGGGTATATGGGTACACAGGACCCTTCTGGACAACTACAGCTAAAGGCTGGTGTAGCGCTGGAGCTGGTTCCTCCAGAACCTGAGTCCTCTTCAAAGCTCAGGCAACATTGGAAAATATTAATGAGTACACATGACTGATGATTATGTTAGTTGATTTGATGAAACTGTTTAACTCAGTCATACAAGAACAGCTACAATAGTGTGGTTTATAGTGTTTTGTATAACACAGAGCTGAGAGGATGGAATATACACTGGACTACTTTAACTTAAAATGGTGCAGCAAAGTCAGAGATACACAGATTTGGGGAATATGATCTTTCCTATAACTTGTTCACACCTGGCATCAATGTGTGTTCATAGGTGAGGAGGGTTAGAGCACACGACAGGTGCATGATGTATGTAGAGAAATCCAGTGGGTAAAAGTGAAGAATAGTAAACATCAATATAATCTCTCTGAAAACAGCAATGGTCCAATGTGAATGAAACTGATTTTGCAAACTTAAGTTATAAAGTTGTAAAGATTCACACTCAAGTCCCATCCTGAATGATGAGAGAACAGTCATATTCCAAACACCCTAGAGTTGGTCTGAGGACCAAGGTTCTTCGTTTAGTACAAATGGGACATTGTCAACCCAGACAGGTTGAAAATGGAAAATCCATGCAATGACCCTTGGCTGATATTAGAGACATCAGTGTGTCCTTTTGAGTACTCATGGGATGGGCAGTGTCCTTTTCAAAGAGACAACAATGTGTTTCATTCACAAGTGTTAGGAGCAGGCAGGATTAGTGCACCTGTTGAACATCAAGGACACTGACATCCAAGAAGAATTTAAGATGATTTGGGATCATAAAAAATGGTTCACAGAGCAGAGGCTTCCTGGATTGACTTCATTCTCAGAAAAAGTTGAGGTCTATAGGAACATGGGTGAAGGAAGTGAAGAAGCTTTTCCTCAGATGACATAAGGACATGAACCCAAGCACCTCACTGCTTCATGACAACTATTTCCTCTTTCTCAGGTTGGATCATTTCCTGTCTCATTAATAGTCCAATCGCTGAAGTTGGCTGAGGTAAATATGGATGTCTGTGCCCCACAGCTTTCCAAAGCCATCATTCTTTTCCAAACAGTCATACAGAGCACATCTCCACAACATGGACTGGACCTGGAGACACATCATCTTCTGCATAGCAGCTGCAAAATGGAAGGTGACCCCCAGTCCTAGCCCAGAGGAATGGATCAGAGCATCTAGAGGACATTGCCTCTAAATTCTGTCTTTTCTCCACAGGTGCCCACATCAAGGTGCAGCTGGTGCAGACTAGAGCTAAGGTGAGGAAGCCTGGGGCCTGGGTGAAAGCCTCCTGCATGGCTGCTGGCTACACTTTCAGAACCTACTACATGAGCGCTGTGTGGCAGGGCCTTGGACACAGGCTGGAGTGGATGTCGTGGACCAAGCCAAATGATGAACTAGATATGCTCTGAAGTTCCAGGGTAGGGCCACCCTCACCCTCACCGCAGACTCTTCCTCCAGCACAGCCTACTTGTAGCTAGCACTGTGCATTCTGAAGACACAGTGTGGTGCTTTCACCGTGAAAGTGTCAGAAACACTGAGGGAAAAGCAGCTGCCTTAGAACTGATAGAACAGGGATGGTGAAGCAGAATTACTAAGATTAATTAGGGAAAAGAATGAAATAAATGGGTGTGCATGCTAATTTAATGGGCAAAGGCAGAAAGTAGAGAAATCATATAACTAATAAGTTTGTTACATGCAACTCTAAGCAGATATTTGTGTAAACATATTTTACATAAATTCAGAAATATATACAAACTTTTCTACTGCATGATAGTGTTCTATTTAACTTGTGAAAGTGGGAAGAATGTTTGCCACAATGTCTTGGCTAATTCTGTTAATCAGACTTTGCTTCTAATGCACGTTTATGTTAATAAAAATTAAGGAGAATGTAAAGTAGCTTCCCTTGAATCTCTGCCCAACACGCACCACCTGTCTTAACAGCAGCAACCTCCCCTGGATCCTTCTGTTCCACTGTTGGACTCTCAGGGACTGAGCTTCATCTCCCAAGTCTCGTCTCTCTCATGGGCTCACTGCTGATGTGTATTCTGTGGTCTGTAAATTTCTTAATCACTCATCTCCACTACAGTGCCATGAGCTTCACACTCATGTGGGTGAATATTAGGTGCAATACCGATGGGTCCTGGAGTACGAAGGGGCTCTGGGGACAAGCAGGGACTGGAGGCTGTGACAAGAGGAGTCTGAACAGCTGAGCACCTGTGTGCAGTCCAGGTGGTTGTGCTGGTTCTTTGCTCATCCCTAAGAAATCTTTGTGTAATCTGCTGCACAGGTGGCTTGTTCATATTTTTCCAGTGCTGATTCATCTTTGAAAACATTGTCCAGATTCCCAGCTGTGCTTACACTCAGTGTGCATGCAGTGGGGAGAGTCGGAGACGAAGCTCATGGAAGCATCCTCCTGCAGAATGTGAGAACACAGGAGACTGGCTAGGTGAATGAACCCCGCACATCATTTGCTCAACTGCTTTATTCCGAAAGTGTCTTCCACAGTGGAGGAGCCATGTTTCAATTTCCATCAGCAGTCAATAAGAGTCCTCTTACACGTGAACTGCTTAAAATTTTGTCCTTACTAAATGAGTATCACACGATCATATGAATATTTTCCTAAAACCCACATAAAAATGCTTACAAATATCCCGATGATCTCTCTCTATATATCCTTCTTGCATTTTTTCATTTTTCTTTCCTTCTGTCTTAAAAGGCCTAAGCAGATGTTGTTATGAGGCCTTAAACAATTATACAATTATTGGATATGTTTTCTGAATCTGTTACTTGTACTTAATTCCCTCAGGTGTGTTTTAACATATATATTATTCAAAATTTTAGTGCAATAACATTTGTCACTTACATTTCTTAGATATTAAGTGCTATTACATTATGAGGGACATTTGTGGGTTCTTCATACTTGGTGGTAATGGAAAACTTCTCATGTATCTATTCTTCATAAGTACATGTTTATTGAGAAAGGTCTGTTGAGATTTGCAGTTTTCAAAAGGGATCATTTTCTTGTTAGCTTATTTATTGAAACCAATACATGATTATTTATCTTTTGACACAAGGCCTTGCTTTGCATTTTGCACTGGTTTTGAGCTCACTTAGTAGCACAGGCTGGTCTCAAACTCATAATACTCCTCTGCCTCAGCCTCACAAGTGCTGCAGTTATAGGCATGTGTATTCATGCCTGGGTTATGAAATTTCTTTTTTATTTTTGATATTTAAGCATTATTACATTGTGGAATACCAATATTCTCTATCCTTTCACATGTACTTAGCATTTCATCATTATTTCTTTTTCATAAAATGATTTATGTATCATGTACTTTGACTTGTACATTTCTGATTGTTTTTCCTAAACTTTTGGAAATGAGTTCATTATTTATTACATGGCCAAAATGATGAGAATTTTCTTGTTTCCAATTTTTTTTAAGTGAACCAAAATTTTTATTCATTCATTTCTTGCATTTGAAGTATTCTTCAATGACAACCTTGGCCTGTGATTCTTTGCGTTAGCCACCACACTATTGCAACCAACCACTTTATGGGGTTTTCCCTCACAGTCAATTTTACAGAGGCCTACCCATTCCTGAGCTTCTTGTTGTCAACCTTAATTAGGTTGATTTGATGCTCAGCACAAAGGGCCTCCACCAACTTTACATACACAGGCTTACTGTAGTTGGATGCAAGCACACAGAGATGCGCTTGGCACACAAATTTATCCCCAAATCAAACTTCTCCCATAAGAGAACCAAAGGCTTCATACACAGTTAAACATCGTGGCTATCCCACTACTACATTAAGGTTCCCCATTTACACTGTCAACGTGATACTCTACAATCTACAGGTTTGTCAGATTGTTCGTGTTTCATTCATGAGAGGAGTGAAGGTGTATCCGACAACTTTGAGTCATCATTCAAATTGTTTCCAAAATGAGTCTTTTGATTTTCTTTCATATTTCATTTGATTTTTATGTAGTTTTTCATGATAATAGTAACCAGGCACAAATTAATTTCCTTCACATAGATATCCTTTTATTCAGAACCACTTGTTAGAGTGACCCCCTCTCTCCATTATCCTTTCCTTGTTCCCTGTTGCTGCAATCAGTTGCGCTTATGGGCATGAAATTCCTGTCCCTGGCTCCTCCCTTCTTATGCTGTTTCCTGGCTGCCTTGGAATGAGCAGCTCTGCTTCTCTGCACCCCTGCCCCAGGCAGTCTATGCCTTGGAGTCAGCTACTCTTGGGTTGAATCCACTGAAACTGTAGATAGAAGCAAGCTTTTCATTTAAGTGTGGGAGTTAGGTATGTAGATTCTGTGTAGGGAGAGTGATGACACATCAGCAAGGCTCTGAGAGCAAAGCTGAGACTGTCTTATGAAAAAAAAACATTTCTACATCAAGGCCTCAGGCTCAGCTCTGGTCCAAGCCTGACCCTACACAAGTCCAATTTTAGAAGAGTCAGCCCTGAGGACACTCTTGGCCAGGATTCTGCCCATGTAGTTCTACTTTGCTGGAGAGGAGATACAGTAAGGGACAGATCCAGTAAGTTCCCTTTTTCCTCATCTAACATGCATTCTCAATTAATGTAGGCATTCCAATGAATTTAGTTATAGACAAAATTTTTCTGCTACTGTTTATTAAATTATTAATTCATTCTTTCTTAATCATTCCACCTGTTTTAAATTATTTCTAAACCTTTTTGTCTTCAAAATATTTTTATTGTGTTGTGAAACACATTTTAGAGGAAATATCATTTTAATGTCTGCTCTTTTTCTGTTCCTCCCTACTTTCCTCTGTTTTCTCCCTCTTTCATCTTTGCTTTTCACTGTTTTCAATAATGCTATACTGTTACACTCATATCAACTTTCTAACATTTATTCTTTTGCACTTTTTCATAAGAATCAATCTAAGTTTCTTGCAATGATAATTTATAATGTAGTATTTATTTTATTTCCTCTGACAATCACTGCTGTTGAGTAATGTTTTCGCTATCAGATGTGCATTTTTGTAATTCAGTTTTGAGAAATGTCTTAAGATATTTCCCTATTATTCATTATTACCTTTACATTAATTTGTTATTGACTGTTTTAAATAGTCTCATAATAATGGCTTGTCAGATTAACAGATATTTTCAATTTTTGTTGAATGACTCTCTTAGCTCTTATTTGCAGTATTATTTCCATTGACATAAAGGAAATCTTCAGAGGCCAGAGATATACAGTGCAGCTCCACAAGTGCTTGGCTGCCAAGTACAAAATCATGAGTTTGATCCTCCATACAAAAAAAATGAATAAAATAAATAAAATAAATGAAAGACTATCAATCCATGTACATGGGCTGCACCCCATGATTTCATCACATCTTAAAGGGGTCACCATCACCTCAAGGCCTTGCAAATGAAGGTGCACAATAATTCAGGAAGGGACAAACCATGTCAGCACTATTGATCCCCATGAAGGTTGACAGATAGCTGGACCTACTGAGTATCCAAGGGCGTGGCATAGTCAAGTTTACTTCTGGCATTAAAGTTCCCCTGCTTCTTTGTGGAAGCTCAAAACCCTACTCTCAGGTGAATGGAGGTTTGTGGGGAAGTTGCGACTGAAGTGAAGGTGAGAATCTTAGGTCTTCTCATTTACCAAGTGACACTTCTACATGCTGAGTGGCTGAGACATAGCACCTGGGTTTATGAAGATGATGGAATCTTCGTGTAACAAGCAGGGACCCACCAGTCCTGTTTGCGGCCCAAACAGTGAATAGTGGGAGGAGAGCTGGGGAGATAGCTTGTTGGTCAAAGCACCTGCCTGGCAAGCCACGCCCTTGGATACTCAGTAGGTCCAGCTATCTGTCAACCTTCCTGGGGATCAATAGTGCTGACATGGTTTGTCCCTTCATGAATTATTGTGCACCTTCCCAGTGCACGATAATTCCCCAGTACCATGTGGGATTCCCCAGTACCAACCAGCCCCCATGCCCTTCACATGCTGTGCCAGCCTGAAACAAGGTGTGGTGGCACATGCCTATAATATCAGCACTAGAGAGGCAGAGTCAGGAGGATCACTGCAGGTCTGAACTGTATAGTGAGATCCTATATAAAATTTTAAGAAAAGATAACAATAAATAGTGCATGTGCCCAACCCTGGAAAACTCCAGAGAGACCCTTCCTCATGTGTCCCATGTCATAATTTGGATCAGAAGTGTCCCCACAGCTGGTCAAATAGCTCACTGAATTAAAGCTTGCAAGCAGGCTCAGTGGCTGTTGGTTGGATTCCTGGATCTGTCGTGCCGGCCCTGCACCCGGGGCATGCTGAGAGAGCAATTGAGACTAGGCAGGGTGGTGTGGGCCTGTAATCCCAGCTCTTGGGAAGCTGTAAACAGGCGAATCACTACGAGTCCGATCTAGCAGTGAAATCTTGAACCCCCTTTAGACCGTTCCCAAAAGAAAAAAATAATAACTAGGACTGTTAATCCCATTCAGTCCAGCTATTCTCCTCCTGTATATTTTCCCAAAATAACTGAAAACATTGTATCATAGTGCTATATGTGTGCCTATGTTTATGGCAGCACAATTTGTGATAGCCAAAACTTGGAAACAACCAAAATGCCCATCACCTGAGGAATGGATGAAAAAGATGTGGAGATTTTATACAATGGAGTATTACTCAGCTAGAAAGAAACATATACTTCCTTTAATTTCTTCAAGGGCCCGGGGTGATAACTCAGTAGAATAAGTACTTGCTTGGCAAGCGCAAGGGCCTGAGTTCAATCCCCAGTCCCAAAAACAAAAAAGAAAAATTCTTGAGTGAAGTGTAATGCATAACTCTATTTCATGTGAAATACTTTCACAAAATTCGCCTTCCAACCTCAGTTTATACTTGCAATGTCTTCTTTATGTAATTTCTATCAACAACTATCCACGTTGCTGAAGCATAAAACTGAATACCGCCGCAGTTCCTGGATGTCACCTTGTTCCTCACTGATACTGTCTAAGGTATTTCACTCAAATTTTCCTCATCTGTTTTCATGTGCTCATTTTGCTGATTTCTTTGGTTCCTTCCATTGAGCTGTAATGTGAGATACCACACAGGGCTTTCTTGCATTAGTAACACCAACAAAATCAATATGCATCACCCTAACCCTGGTAAGTAAATCCTCTCTGACCTTGGTAGAAATCCCTAGAGCCTTGCAAGAATTCCCCACAACTTAATCCCATGTATATCAGCTATATTTTATTTCCTCAGTGAAAATTAATACCATTGTTTCCACAAATTCATCATTGCCCTGAAATTCTGATCAAACTATTCAGGATCACAAGAAAGATTAAAACAAGCGACCAAATGAAAAGTTACAAAGTCACCTAGGCCAGCCTGGCAGGGCCAGCAGCTCTGCACCTCAGACACAGCAGCTCTGCCCATTTGTTCAGGTCACAGATGGGGGGCCCAAGTCCTCTCAGTCTGTATCTCACTACTTCTGTTGGCTCTGTTATCACTTGAATCCTGGTAGCCTAATTATGTTTGGGTGAAGGGATTACAAATAACAAAATAGTGAAATTTTAATATGCAAATGTACCAACACCTCATGGTAAGTGTAATGATTCTGTACTTCAAATATATACTGTGTTAGTTGATACATTGTGTCAACTTGGCTGAATCAGCTCCGGCAGTTCTTAGCACCGGAGCCTAGCCCTGCAGGTGGGCAGGGCCCAGGAATTGAGAAAGGCAGGAAGCTGCCCTGCCTGGTTTCCTGCTGCCCCGCCCGCTTCCGTGGAGAAGGCTCAGTCTTCAGAGGAGCTTGGTCTTGGCAGCCGTGCCACTTTGGAGGAGCTCCGATCTTCACTGGTCTTCACAGTCAGCGCAGAAAGAAGAGTCTTGATGGACGCTGCCGCAGCTGCTGCTCCTCCTCCTCTGCTCTTCATTGTTTTCTGCAGCATGAACTGCTGTTGTCTGTCTTGGAGCCAGAAGAATATGGACTGAACCCTCCAGTAACTGTGAGCTAAGTAAACCTTTCCTCCCTTCATTTTGTGTGTCGGGTATTTGTCCCAGCAACGAATAAAAAGTAACTAAGACATATACTAATAAAATGAAAATTTGTAATAAAATAATCAATCCTGAAATCAAATTGCAATACAACTAACCATATTACATGATATGGAGAAAAATGATTTTTAGAGAAAATTTCATACATAGGAGCCAAGAAATTGTGTTGGCACAGAGCTACAGAACAGGAGTAACATATTAAGACAGTGGGACAGATGTGTTCTGAGATCCCAAATGATTAGAAGAGGATTGAGCATAACTTCCCTGGCTACAGTGCAGACCAATATCTCTAATGGAAGTGGTGACTTCTCTGGACACCACTGGGTCCCCTGCTGACATCATATACATTGTTACACATGCACCCAGCATGTGCCACTCTTCACACTGGAGGTCTGAAAGGGCTGTTGACATCCCCAGGGTCTCATCACTAGGGGCGGCAGGAGCTGGGCTCTGTTCACTGCCAACAGTTTCTGATGAATTCTGAGACACAGTTTCAAGATTGAGTTGCACAAATTTATGGACATCAATTTATGGGGGTGATCAGAGACATAGTTAATGGGAATACTTTATTCTGTCCATACTTCATGGTTACTTTATCTACTCTATAATGTATTTATGTTGAAGTGAGTTAAAGGAACCATGAAGCTCCTTCATGTATTAGATTTGGAACAATCTGTAGAATCCTAAGCACACAATTATAAACAGGAGCTGCACAGTGATAGTGAATAAGAAGTGGGCACCATTGAAAAGCAGCACCTCTCACATGAAAGAGCTGCGGTCATTGGTCATTTCAATAGCTGTCTGTATCCTGAGCTCCAATATCCATATCCATCTTATTCTCTATGTGATGTGAACTCTAGTCTAGAGATCTAGAATGTCCTAAAAAGAAC